CTGCTCCATCTTTCATTCATTCTGCAAGCGGTTTCACACAGCTGTACAGGTAGAGAAAAGATCTGCCTTAATACTTAATCATGCTATGGAACAAACTGTATCGCTGCATAAAATATGCTTTCTTTATATTTGTGTTGTCTTCTAGTATGCTTATTTGTCTGCGCTATGATATCTTACTGAACATATCCTCACTTTACCTGGCTGTAGGAGAACCGAGAGCGAGAAGCCGCAGAGCAGAGACGCAAGCGGAAGGAGAGCATGCGCACTACAGCAAAACGGCGCTCCACAGTTCCCAACTCACGACCTGAGCCTGAGTGGGACTCCTGCAGCTTGAACTCGGCCTTACACAGCTTTCTGTCCACCGCTCCAGAAGGATTAGCCAGATGTAGGAGAAACATGATGCCCCCAATTGAAGGATCCCCCTCTGACCACAGTTCTCAGACTGTTCCATCTGAAGAAATATCTGAGGCTACAAGAGAGAGGCCTGAGAAGAAACAACCCAAACTGCAGAAAGAGGATGAGCAGCTTGCAGGACTGGAAAACAAAGAGGAAGCTGAGAAGATGCGCGAGGTAACTCGAAAGGTGCTTCGCTACCAACGCAGCAAAGGTCAGCTTGATGGAGACAGAGTTTCAGGCACTCCATGCCGGTCAGAGCGAGTGCAACACAGTCCAGCTACTCCGAGTACTCCTCAGCCTAGAACCAGAGACTTCTTCTTTGCCAACAATGGGGAGTTTGGGTCCCCGTGGACTATCCTGAGTCCTTTTGTTTGCCCCCGAAGGAACACCCCACAGAGAAACAGGCAAGCACACCAACAAAGACTGTTCTCCACACCTGGATTAGAAGACCTTGATGATGGAGTCTGGGAGAGTGACGACGGCAGTAGTCTTCTAAATGGTGCCATTCGGGACAGCCAAATATCTCATTCTGGTTCTGCGTCTCTTCCTGAGTGCCATAGCCGCAGGCCTGTGTCTCAGGGTCCAGTCCTTAGATCTGTTTCTATGGATGAAACCAGCAGATCTCCAGCATCTGGATTCCGGCTGGGGAACCTCTTTCAGCGAAGCAAATCTCAGAGGTCATACTCCTCTGGCTCAAGGACAGAAAATACGCAAGAAGGAACAGGAGTCTATCCTAATCATATAGACGGTCAAGTGTCCACCTCTGGCTTCATATCCTTCTTCAGACGCATTGGTGGCAGAAGTAAACCTGGTGATGCAGAAGAACAAGGGTTATGATAATTTTATTTACAGACAAATTTATGTTTTAAACTGTTTTGTCTTTTTTTCCTGTTGTGGTTTTATCCTTTAATGTATCCAAGGCAAATGGGGACTTGCTTTGAACTGTGTAGGTCTTGGTTTTTGGGAGTCAAATCACATTCAAAAATCAGCACATCTTTCTTTTTTGTGTTTATGTGCGCAATAAAGGATAGCATTGTCTTTTAAAAATGTACTTGTATGTGGATTACCTTACTACAGCATTACATTTAAGTGTTATTCACTGCTTTTCAGATTGAAAAGTATCCTTTTCCACCCTTATCATAACATCCTTGGAAGTCTGACTGGTGCTAATGTCTCCCTGTGACACCTGCTCAGTTTCTAGGTGGTTACTTTTCACTTCATCTGTTATTTCTTCTGCCTTTCTAGCAGGAAGGCAGTTGTCTACTCTTAAGTATACACACTGAGGTAACCACAAAGACAAACATCCAGATTCACATATTATTTTGAATTTCAGATTTCTGACTGATTATGTCAACATGTGTCTAGAAAAATTGAATAGGACATACTGCTGTTGATGAATCCATGTTGGGTTTTGCTAGATACTCTTGGCCTCCAGATGATCTGCCCATCACTGTGCCACCAAGGTGTCTCTGCTCAGCAGTGGCTGGGATTTTGTACAGAAAGGAAAGAGAGGCCTTCAGCTGTGTTACTTAGGCAACAGGATTTGTTTACATCAATTTCATTTCAGCTCTCACAGTGTAATAATACTTCTTTGAGCAAATTACTCAATACAGGCTGCTTTCTGGCTGTTGTCCTCCCATATCCATCCCTCCCTCCCACTAGCGTGCACTCAGTGGGGACTTTTACAGTTGCCTGGCATTTCAAGTCCAGAGGCACAGCAAATAGAATAAAAGGAGTTTGGAAAGCATATAGACTATATAGCTGGGTTTGGATGAATCTCCTCAGTAAGCATGCAGCTCTCCTTCATGGTTAGAGATCTTTGTTAACCAAACAAAATCTCAAAGCTTGGCCTTATACACAAGCAGAGATAACTGTATGCTACGTGGAGTGAAGCGTTATGTCACCAGCGAGTCAGCGACTGGCCCGTCTGATGTAAGATGAGAGCTCCAGAGCACAATCACGCTTTTGTGATTGTATGTTAACTGCAGCTGAGGACCATGTCATGCAAGTCAACTCCTGAGGACTTGAGTTGATCTGCCGTCTTTGCTAAGTTGCACTCTCATCAACTATGCATTCAGAGAGAGAGAGAGAGAGAGTGAAAAATGAGAAACCAGCATGAATAGAGAAGAGAAAAGAGGTGGGTAAGGGAGGCTTGGACTTGGGGAAAAAGGGAGGGTGATTTGGAAGTTGTATTGTGAGAGAGCATTTAAGCAAAGAGAAAGAAACTGGTACAGGAGCAAGAACTAGATGAAAGGCAAGGGAACCCAGTAAATCCTGTATAGTGACAAACCCTGGATTGTTTATTCCTTTTTATGTGGGAACTGGACGAAAAAGGTAAAATAATATTGAACATGTTTAAAGAACGCATGATAACAGCTCAGCTAGGAAATATGAAGCATTGCCCTAATATTTACTGTAAATGTTTTATTTATTTTTGTTCTTTTAGACTGTAAGCTCAAAGCATTAACCACTGTTTAGAAAAAGTCATGCAGAAAAAATATTGTCAGCTCTTTAGTAACATGACAGAGGAGCACACTGTGTGGTAACTATAGTGGTTGTTTGTGCTATAAACTTAATCTGCTGTAGCAGCTCTATGGTCACTGAAGTGTTTACAAGTGTTGTAATTAGATTTGAGGTTGGAAAAGAAAACTGAAGATTCTATTTGTGAAAAGAATCCACTCAAATGGATTTTCACAATTGCATCTTATATGTTAATTTAGGTTTTCACCTCTGAGAGGGGAAATAAGAATGTTAAACCTGTGACAGCCCTCTGGTAAATGTGTCTCCAAGGTTTTTAATATGTCATCTATTTGCTGCTCTTCTAGGATTCTGTACCTGAAACCTATGAAGAATCACATTTAGATGATACAAATAAGTGGGAGGTTTTAGGAGCACCAAGTCAATAATACCTGAAATGAATGATTTTTCTTCCATCTGATAAGTAATAAACTCAGAATAGTTCAATAAATGACCCCGACGTGATTTGAACACGCAACCTTCTGATCTGGAGTCAGACGCGCTACCGTTGCGCCACGAGGTCATCTGCGTCAGTTCATCAGGATAACTTTTCATGAACCTGGATATCTAGTTCTATACGTGCGGCTATGTTCTGTAGATTTGTGCGCAATGTTTGATATTCTGAGTCGTAAGCTTTTGCGCATATCAACCCGTTATTTGCTATTTGTATTTGTTATAGCTTTCTGTTTTGGCATTTGCGCGCTGTTTCATAGCTTTCTGTTTTGGCATTTGCGCGCAGTTTCTCTATAGGCGCGCGTTTCTTAATTTTCACACAAAAGAAGATGAAAAGCTGAGGTTGTAATGCTACTTTGCAATTTTATCTGCATGGCGTGATTTTTTTTGCCCCTCCTTGAACCGCCACCTTAGAAAATGGATGGGTGGATGGATGGCGTGATTTTGTCCTTAGTCAGTCTTGGATTTTGATTTATGTTGTTAAACTTTAATTGGTTCAGTGAGACATGCAACATCAAATCTTTCTTAATGAACCATGTCTATTTCAGATGACTGAGAAAGGCCAAAGAAAAGCAGAAATACAGATCTGAAACATGTTCAAGTAGGAATCCATAACTCACAGCTTGAGACTGATTGAATAAATGTGTTTAGGTTCTAGGACTACCTTCTTTGCTTGCCTCTTTGATGTTCCCAATATGCAGCTCAAAATAAGGAGCGCATCCCCTGCAGCTGTGCTCAGTTTGTTTGCAGTTCAGTTGTTTTAGGTTTGGCAGGTATGTCTGTTAATCTCAGCTGTTTCCTCCTTAGGATTCAGGTGTTTTAGGTTTGGCAGGTCTGTTTGTTAATCTCAGCTGTTTCCTCCTTAGGAAAGAAGAGGAGCATCTGCAGAATAGGACACTAACCTCCATTAGGGACCAGCCTGTTTATAGGAAAATGTATGGGTAAGTACATGCAAATGTAAAATCAGTGGGGGGTTTTTTTGTTTGTGTGTTTGTTTTATGCACACATTATGCAGTGTCTGTTGTCTGACCCTGGCCCCAAAAAATGCTAATGTCAGCCAGAAACGACACATCTGAGCACCTTGTATGATGGTTTCTGTATTCTATACAATCATCAAGGTAACACAGTCATTATATTCATCAGTCACCTTAATAGCAGCAGTTATGTTTTATAATGTAGAATTTAGGTTTGGTTATAGAATGCATTACAGTTGTGAGGATGTCAGATATGATAGTTCCTTTCTTAAAAATGGAGTTGCTTGGTGGCGATATTATTGTCCTTCCTGTTCCAGCTGTAGCCACTCTGAGTAGGATGCATGCTGTTCTCTGTTTACACTGATGAGACGGGTTTAAACATCAGGGAGTTGGAGCAGTGCAGGGCACATTGATTAGCTGGGTAAATGTTACTATGATGTCAGCAGGTGTTGTTGTTGTTACTGGGCAACAAGAAAGACTCAAATTTTAAATGTGTTAATTGCTACTGTTACTCTGACGAAGCAGAATAAAAATATATCCAGCTTGTACAGCCTTTTCCCTCACTGCTGCAGCCAAAGCTTCATTTTCTGCTTGAGTCTACCATTTACTTAATACAGACAATGAAAAATTTTGGAGTGGAGATTTTAGGACACAAAACCAACTGTTACCATCACTGCCGTTTAGCAGTGGCATGACATGAAAACTTTTTATTGTACTCTTAAAAACAGTGTTACCCTGTTGTTTCCAGACATGATGGCTGGGACCTCTCAGGGACCATGCCAGTTGTTTATACTTCACACTTTTGCTGATGATTTTCCCAAAGCATATTAGACATTTTTGTGCTAGTTCCCTACTTTCTAGATCCCCGCTGTTTTCCAGTAATTTCAGTATCACCTTACACAGAGTCCCTCGAAACAAATAAACCATTACTGTAAACATAATACTGTTGTTGTGTTCACATATAATATAATAATGTAGTGACGTGTAGCTAACTCTGGTCCTGAATGTTTGAACAGAGTTGAATAGTCAGTGTAATAGATTCCTAAATCTTAAGCAAAGTTTAATTCTCTACACAGTGATTGTTTTTCCCTTCTGGCATAAACTGAAAGTAACATCTGCCTACAGAGGTTAAAAGGTCAGTGTGAGAACTTGGGGTATGTTTGGAAAACGATCAACAAGTGGACATTATAGAGATATGGATTGAACCACAGGGTGTTGACACCATCTTTTGTACTCCAGCCATCACATTCTAATAGCTTCCATATACAGTATATGTAATGTGCATTCATATGGAGATCTTGTATATTCTGTATGGGCTGTAATCACAATGAGCATGTCATGACTGGTCTGTACACCAATAGTGAAATATCCCTATAATAGAGTAGAGTTTTTAATCACCTATTAGAAACAATTTGGGATGTTGCTGTATATACATGCAGTATGTTTAAATATATTATATTATACTTGTTGATTAATCTTCATGCAGTATTTCCCATGCAGATTTTTAAAAACATAGAGAACACACACAGAGTTTGTCTACATACTGAGTCAAAAGCTCGTCTATACATAGAGGGTTTTCTAAACCTGCAAAGACCAGCTTTTATGATTAGCAGGTCAGGGATGAGAAGCTAAGTGGACTGTTTCAGAGAGAGAGCAGCCATCTGCTGCACTGGATGCAGTCTCCATGGCAACATGGGTGCAGCAAAATCCTGAGAAGATGGTTTGGTCCCCACCCCCATGCACATGCATTGGGGAAGGACAGTGCTCATGCCTCTGCTTTCCACACACACACTGCAATAAAAATGTTATAGGCACAAACAACAAAAAAGAAACAATAACCATATTGTTGGTTGTCCTTGGGAAGAACTTAAACCGTGAGTCCCTAAACATATCCCAGCAGGATTTGGTCATTTATCTTGTATCTCCTTTCAGCAACTCTGCATTTACAGGGAAGAGAGAAATAGATATAGACTGGTTGCCTGTGCTCACAGTATCTCCTATGAAGCTTTGCAAATTTTCTGTTTGAGCGCTCCTTAGACAATAAAAAGCAAAGGATAGGTGAAGGAGAGAGAAGACAGGAATTGAAAAAGTCTCTGTCTCTTTGTTGCCATCTCCCCCTTACTTTCCTCATCTTTTACACTATTGGACAATCCAACATCCTCCCATGTTCATAACAGCCAGTCAGCTTGTACAATTTCACTGTATCTCTTGCCTCCTTACAGCCTCTCTCTCTCTCTCTTTCTCTCTGTCGCTTTCTGCCGCTAGCACACACATACATGCGCTAAAGCCAGAGTCTGATCACACACATATACACACCCTATTCCTGCCTGCCTTCTAAGAATCTTTCGCGAGGTGCTTTTTGCTTTGACAATGTCGGGTTTTATGGATGGATATTGCTCCCAGAGGAGGAGAATGCGCTGAAATTTCCTTTTCCCTCTTTCATCTGTTAGGAACCTGCTGTAAGTACATCATTTACTTCACACTTGCTCTCATTCTTGCTCTGCCATGCAATCCCCACTATATTATTCATTCACTATTTGCATCCCACACCTTTCTCCCCTTGACAGAGAGTGCCAGCCTTTCTCCCTCTCATGTCTTGCCTCTCTATGCTTTGTCACTCCCTTCTGTTTTGCCTCCCGCCCATTGGTGAAAGCATACACCCAAAATTGTCTCTATGCAAAATAATGTTGTAGACCATTGACTGACCTGTGATGGGTTTGTGCTTTGTAGGATAACCTGAAAATATATGCAGTGTGAGACACCCTCTGTAAGGCTGGCTGGAATGAGATTATAGCTCAGTGGAGGGATGAGGTGCAGTTGTCTGTGATGGAGGAGTGATGTGCTGAGACTCTGGTGGGATTGCAGACTGAGGGACCTTCAAAATAATAATTGTGGTGTGATGCAGCCTGTTTGTGATTTGCTTTTTTTTAGAATATTGTTTGCATGGAGTATGTAATAACTATTATGAGAGCTTGTTTAACTGAGGAACTTTAAACATGTGACAAAAATCAGTGATTTCAGATTACATGCAATACAAAGCATATGCTTTGAACAGAACTCCATCAGGAGACGACCTCTGTAGATGAGGTGCTGATGCAGAAAGCTGTCACTAGGCTGGGATTTTGAGCTCACTTGATGTACATGCTGACTCAAGTACCCACTAATTAATAGTCCAGCAATACAAACAGGAAATAATAGAAAAAACTAGAACAATATGTGCTGCTCTCTATGTCCTCCTTGCAGACTCGATGAGCTCGGAGGTGTTTGTGCTGCTATGGCTAACAGTGTCTTAAATTTATTGTACACTCTGCATGGTCAAGCAAATGCTGTGCAAAATGTGCTTTTATGCTGCTTTGATATGAACTCAGCAGAAAGCGAGAACAGTCTGCATGACAAGACTGCACTTTGGCACAGAATCAAACAACTACAGAACTCATTAATTCTAAGTTTAACTTTGTTTGAGTCTAAGAAGTCTGAGTACAGTCTAACGCTAGAAGAGACAGAGAGAGGTGTTAAGAGCCTCAGGTGGGAATTCTGTAAGAGTCAGGTTAATTTATCTAACCCATGCCTTTAATGACTTTTTACTGAGGTTTAATTTTTATCAATTTGTCTAAACTTTCACTCTTTTTCAGAATAACCAGAGCTATTTGAAAATTAAGATTTGCTTGACATTAATAGCGGCAGTTAAGTTTTATAATGTAGAATTTAGGTTTGGTTATAGAATGCATTACAGTTGTGAGGATGTCAGATATGATAGTTCCTTACAGAACAGTTATTTGACTAACCAGTGTAATATGTGTGATTTTGGTGAAACTAACAGCAAGTATGGTCTCACTGTGCTTTCATACCTGGCAAAAACTGATAAAGCACAACAGCAAAGATTTACTCAAGATGGCTTTTACTCATATTTTACCCAAGGTCACTGTTTTCTTTGACTTTGTAGGGGTAGAGGCTCAGTGACTGAAAAGTTCACTGAAGCATTATAACCAATGAATAGCACAGACAGCTACAGCATTTGTTGCAGACTACTATTTATCAAACCAATTGGTTTGTGTGCAAGTCTCACTTTAGTCATGATCAGTTTTTATGTTCATTTTATGCACAACAAAAAATGTGATGTTTAAATTGAACTGGTTGGCTAATTACAATAGATTCTACAGGAAGCTGATGTCTGACAACAGTGTCACCCACAGAGTCTTGTCCCTTAAGTATGTATGTGTGACTGTATATGCTTTTATGATACATTCCATGTTCATGTTTGTTTTATGGACATTCAGGTTTTCCAAAGCATATTTACTGGGTTGTGGTGAGGGTTTGGTGAAAGCTGAGTGACTGAGCTGAGAGAAACACTGCTGTCATGTTGGATATATTTAGACAGATCTCCTGGGGTCTCAGTATGAGCACTGACCAACTGTGCCATTTCTCTAGCCTTTCAATAACATAATAACATCTGTAAATAAAAGCTATGTAGTTCTTTTACCTAGTCTAGTCAATTTCTGAAATCAGTTAAACATTTTATCATCCTGTGAGAGAGTGAATTTTTTTGCAGACTGATTTTACATTTACAAAAACTGTATGCACTATCTCAATACAGTGTTCCAAAGACGGCTACGTGCCTGTTTCTTATACAACACTAGATGATTTTATGTACAGGGTCATGTGCTCAGGTTATTTTTCTTTCTGTTTAGTTTAGTCATCTTTGCCTCAAAGAGAGAGGAGTTGTAACTAAAGGTAAGTTTATTTCACATGACTAAAAGGGAAAACAATGTACAGGCAAATTAAAGTCATACAGGGAGGAAGCCAGAAGAGAGAGGACTGAGGGAGAATGACCTTTTTGGTCATATGACTCCATATTTCTTGATCAGGGAGACAACTGCTTGTTTGCCCTCTAGGCTTACAAGTATACAGAAATTTGCATATTGATGCGTCAGTTCATTATAAGCTACGATCTAAAGGTCAAAAGAAGA